AAGGCTAATCCAACCTGCATTCTTGCACAATTCGTAGGACATTCGCCCCGTGTAAATATATCTGTAAATCAATCATCATGTAATGAGTATTAATGCTCAGATTATTGCGATGCATGCCTTTGATCGCTACTGCCGTTTTGCCTGAGACATCTTCATTGTAGTAGGCTTTTGAATCTTCTCGGTTAAGTTTTTCTCAATGAATTTGCTTCTGCACACAATACTACTGCATGAGCGGAAAAGTCTTGCTTTTCCAACATGCGTTGAAATATTCATATAACTGCCACTTTCATACAGTTTCTCGTAGTCAGCTGAGAGATCGATGATAGATCAATAAAGTTATCCATTTTGTTCGGGATGCCTTCAGTTGTTCTGTGTATACGACGGTGGCTAGTGCACGATGAAAGTTATTCAGTCATGTTGGATAAAACTCTTTTAGCGATGCGTTGCGTTGTGAGTGATTGTTTAAGATCGTATCTTGTTAGATATCCAATCCATTATAATGTGTGTTACAAAATAATAGGGGTATCTATCACATGGGGCGTGCTGCAACAAAACCAAACAAAGTGAACCTGTGACGTCACAAGTCGGAGAAAATTTTTTTTACGCGACCTGCTTTTCGTTCCTTTGCTGTACCACTGCTCTTCAACGGCATTTGACGCGTCTTATATTTTCTAATCTGCTCTCGTGTACCGATATTGCCAATCTTTTCGACATCTCTCTGTTACGTATGTTTTGTACTGATTTCAGCTTTGTATGCTCCGCCTCGCACCAGAATTATATCATTTTAACATTACGTGCACTCTTTTCTCCAGCGCCTTCGCAACTTACTTAGACAGAATGCCTAATTTACCTAAGACTGCCCCTCAATTCTTCGTTATTATGGTAAGATGCTAATTTTATCAAAGACATATCGACATGCTTTACTCATACATTCTACAGATGTTTGGGACAAACCTTATAATGACTGGCCATCCGTTGAAGAATTCTCTGAATATCTACGCAAAGCTGGTTATAATTTCACCAACGAACAAGTATGCAACGCATTCCAGAAAAAAATCAACGCTTTGCGGACATTGTTTGTGAAGAGGCATCCCGCTCAAGCAGACCTGGAACTTCAATTAAAGGTAATGTGATTTAGCATCGACTAGTGAGAAGAGCGAAGGCGAATCAGTCTGGAGACTGATACCCAGCGGGCTGTGGCTACGTAGATGAGGTGCGCCTCAGTTCTACAGAAGTGGTGTAATGTTTCGCTGCTTCTGCAGGGTCGTGTCTTGGTTGTATTTGTAGCAGAGAAAAAAATCTGGAAAATCTCGTGCGGGCTGCGTGTCTGTTGATGAGGATGCGTCCTCGTTCAACTGCAATACAACCATACAGGCTGCTTGCATGGTTTGATGTGTTGGCAAGCTATTTTCACATTAGTTGACCAAGTTATCATCAGAATAAGCAGATACAAAGAAAGTCTTGTAAAGGGTAAAACGACCCCTCACACATAGTTTCATTATGTTCGGCCAACTACCCGGGGGGAATTTTTAGATGAGAGTTTAGAAAGGTATTTTTTTGAATGAATGCGTGTTTTGTACCTTTTATCGACGGTATAAACCGTATGTATATTGCGTTTTTTGTACCGTAGCGTTTTTATATAGTGTTTTTTTAGATACCTACAAAATAAAATCAATGATTTAACCGCTGCCGTGGCCGTGGCGGTGGCGTAGCCACGAGTGCTTACTACCTATTTCTTATTATTCCCCACAATTTTTCCAATCTTTTTCTAAATACCGCTTTTGATTTTTCTCAATTCTATTTCCTCATTTTTAACTCTTTTCGCTTCTGCTTTCGCTGCGTTTAGTTGTCCAGCAAATTTACTTTCTGTTCCCTCCAAACCAGCCTTAATTCAAGACCAACACCTTTCTTTAGTGAAAAATAGATTTTCTCATTCTTTTTGGAGTTCTTCAGTGAAATCTGAATGGATGTCTTTTCAGTTTCGACTGGCTAATAAAATTAAACAAATAAGTGCAATCACTACCGCAGCAATCCCTAAACAAATCACTCAGCTTAATTTGCTGTCGTTTTTATTAAGAAATTGTGGCTGTAAAATTAGCAAATTATTTTTAAAAATCACAAAATTTACCAAGCGTGTTTAATCCCAATCTGTTTGAAGACAGGTCCATCATAAATTAGCAGGTTTCCGCACAA